ACACAATGAATTTACAGTTAGAACAGATTGTGAAGTCATAGTTCGCTTCATAAAAAATGATCAAAGTAAAAAGGTCAATAGGACTAGATGGATTAATTTACAAAATATTATACAGGGAAGCGGATACAAAATAAATTTTGAACATATAAAAGGAAAAAAATAATGGTATAGCAGATATATTATCAAGAAACCTAAATAAATTATTTACAAAAGATTCAAAAAATTAATTATGACGATTTACACAGTTATCTACAGGATTCTCAAGATATAGCTGGTCTTGAAGATATTTCACCCCTACAGATTACATAGTTGCAAACCTCTTCACCATTACATTTTACACAATCACCTCGTATAAGGCCACCCAAACCAGCAGTAAAAACACAAACTCCACGATATAAATCTTTTGGAAATATTGCACTCCAAAAATGTTTCGATAATATCAATCTTCATATATGAATGATGAATCCGTCAAACCCATGCAACACCCTTCGGTCAACTTTATGTCCCATCGTCTAATTTGAGTTCATCCTTTGTCACGTCAACGTCGGTTTTTGTCTCAAAGGTGGGCTGTTTCGCATTTCTCAGTTAGAAAGAAGGATTGAGTGGTTGATTTTGTAAAAAGGACGTATTTTTAGGCTATTTTTGTAATTGTATTTTTAAATAGGACTATTTAAATTAATTTCTCGACAATCACGGGCTTTTTTTGTAAATATTCGTAACAGTGAATGACATTTGTAACTGAAGGGCAAGTACAAGGACCGGTTATAATCATCGGAGGATCCTAATCTTTTGATTGGATTTTGTAAGCGCAAATGGTATGATCCTGAGAAAGCTGTCGTCAGCAAGCCTCGCAACCAGTTCTGGTGCAAGCTGCCACTCAATGCACTTGAGACTGCTACACAGCAGCTGTATACGACCGTTGAAGAAACAACAATTTAGGCGTAATTTCCATAACCTCAAACCTAAACGTTCTCCACCCGCAATAGCACCGATTGTTTCGGACTCGACCATAGTGCAATGGAACACAACCATCACCAACTACATGCGCAGTGGCCAGTGCGATTCAGCTCTACGTATGTTCGAAAAGATGTCCCAACGGACTTCTGTTTCGTGGAACGCGATGATATCTGGGTACTTGATGAACAACAGGTTCGATCTTGCTCGCCAGATGTTCGAAAAAATGCCCGAAAGAGATTTAGTTTCCTGGAATGTGATGATTACCGGGTGTGTTCGAAATGGGAATCTGGGTATGGCGAGGAAATTGTTTGATCAAATGCCAGAGAGAGATGCAGTTTCTTGGAATGCTATGTTGTCTGGTTATGCTCAAAACGGATATGTTGAAGAAGCAAGGATAATTTTTGATAGGATGCCAAACAAGAATTCTATCTCGTGGAATGGTATACTTGCAGCATACGTGCAAAATGGGAGGATAGACGATGCACGTAAATTGTTTGAATCGAATTCAGCTTGGGATGTGATTTCTTGGAACTGTTTGATGGGTGGGTATGTAAGGAAGAAGAAATTAGTTGATGCAAGGTGGCTGTTCGATAGAATACCAGTACGTGATGAAGTCTCTTGGAACACAATGATTTCTGGTTATGCCCAGAACGGGCAATTGCCCGAAGCACAGAAGTTATTTGATGAGTCTCCAGTTAGAGATGTGTATACATGGACAGCTATGGTATCTGGTTATGTGCAGAACGGGATGCTGGATGAAGCTAGAAGAGTTTTTGATGAAATGCCTGTAAAGAATCCTGTTTCGTGGAATGCCATAATTGCAGGTTATATGCAGTGTAAGAATATTGATGTGGCAAAGGAGTTGTTTGATGCAATGCCTTGTAAAAATGTGAGTTCTTGGAATACCATGATTACTGGGTTTGCACAGAGTAGTCTCATTGATCTTGCTAGGGATTTATTCGATAAGATGCCCAGGCGTGATTGCATCTCATGGGGTGCAATTATTGCAGGATATGCTCATCTGGGCCATAATGAAGAAGCTTTGCGTTTGTTTGTAGAGATGAAGAGGGATGGAGAGAAGGCAAATAGGTCCATTTTTTCCTGTATTTTGAGCACATGTGCTGAGATCACTTCATTAGAATTGGGTAACCAATTGCATGCACAGCTCTTTAAGGTAGGGCTTGGATCTGGGTGGTATGTGGGCAATGCATTATTGGCAATGTATTGCAAGTGCGGAAACATAGATCAAGCTTACATTATATTTGAAGAAATTGCTGATAAGGACATAGTCTCATGGAACACAATAATTGCTGGATATGCAAGACATGGCTTTGGCAAAGAGGCCCTAAGAATTTTTGAGTCAATGAAGAGAAGTGGAGTCAAACCAGATGAAGTTACCATGGTAATAATCTGCTTTAAGTTCCTTGGCTGATAGCATTTTGTTGCATTGTTCATAACCCCAAAATCCAATATACACAATATATTCTCTGCACCTTTCTTCTTCATCTTTCACCTTATTTAAGTGATTATAGAAGACAACCATATTACATGTTTAGAGCGTGGTTAAGAAAAGATAGTGTCTGACAGCTTGTGAGCCCTCAAATTTAACTATTTTAGTAGATAGACTTGTGATTTTATAGCAACTGGTATGGTGAATCACATGTTCGAGTCACAAAAAACAATTGGTTGCAAAATATGATGGAAAGAGTACTACAGTGACTTTTCTCTCCAACACTTGCAAAGCCGAGGAGCCATGGTTCACAAGGGGTTGCCCTTGTAAATAGATCCCCTCGTGAATTCGTAGTTCTACATTGGAAAATAAGCCTTATTTGGCTACTCCAGGAGCAACTGTTCATGGACATTATGGGGTAAGATCTTTGACGCAAAAAAAGGGGAAGTTATAGATACTTTTCCATATTTTGAGTGGTATCTCATTGATGGCTCGGACCCCCCGGAAGTTTATTTGTGAAAATGTATGTATAGCCAAAAAAGCCCTGTTCCTGGTCAGAAATATAGTGAAATCACCTTAAAGAAAAGCACTTGCCATTCGTTGGTTAACCATATCATCTACAAGAATTTCAAGAATTATCCCTACTTGGTCTACCGTCTACCCTTATTTACTTATTTTCATATAGATATCCCAAGTTCTTATTACAAGAGAAAAAAGGCAACTATTTCCTCCAGTTTCTCCTTAAGCTATTTTATTAAAATAATTTGATTTCTTTTTTAGTTTTTATGGTATTTGATATTGTAATCCACATCATTGCCTAATTTATTAAAAGCAGTCATCCAGGGTTTACAGCATTGGCAAATGGCAAGTAACAAAGATTTGGAGGCCATTATGGTTGTGGGCACTCTTTCCTACTTTAGAGTTCCTTCCTATGGAAACATCTTCTTTAATTTGCTCATTGCTACAAAAACTGGTATACCAAAACTTACGTAGTTACCTCTACCTGAACAGCTGAACTGTTGTTTTCATGTTAAGTTAAGCTACTCCTGAATGGTTTGGAAGTGGCTACAAGAACAATCAGACAATATGCTGACTCTCTTATACTCTACATTATTTAACATTCTTTCTCATCATGTTTAACTTCAGATATATAACATCATTGCCTTTATATAATTATGTTGTACCTAATTTCTATTGAATGCACATAATCAATTCTCACTTTACACTTTTACAGTCCTATATATTAGATCCAGATCTTGTGTTAACTTCAAATATATGCAACATCATTGCGTTTATATGACAATGCTGTTCCTATTTTCTATTGACTACACATAATCGATTCCCAACTCGACAGTCCTGCTATATATTTATCTTTCAGAAATACCTTACAGAAAATTTATACCACTGCAATCCAGTCTTGATTTGTCTTTGTAAATTGAAATACGTTGATATTCAAGAGAACTCCATATTTCCATAAAAACGCGATTGAATTATTCAAATGCTTTTTGTGAGCCAATAGTATCCTACATGAAACTTGAGGCACTGTACTTGTCTGACAACACTTGCCCATGTTGACATTGTCCTAGACAGATCTAACCATAACAGTTCCCATCTTTCTTGCTTTTTTTAAATTGTGGTTGTCGTAGATAACTTGCATAATTCCATGGGGCCTTAGGGTAAACCCCTGGGGAGCAAACAAATATTAGGTCTAGTTTTAGCAGCCCGAATGTTGGAGATATCTTAAGAAGAATCTTCGTTGACACTGTGGTCTTTCATGCTCCAAGAGGTGACATGTATGGTGTCATAATATTTTTGGCTCTACTTGATACAGGTAGGTGTGCTGTCTGCATGTAGTCATAGTGGGTTGGTGGATACAGGCACAGAGTACTTTTACACGATGGATCGTGATTATGGAATAACCGCAAATTCTAAGCACTATACATGCATGATTGATCTCCTTGGTCGAGCAGGGCGCCTAGATGATGCCCAGAATCTGATGAAGAATATGCCCTTTGAACCAGATGCTGCTACATGGGGTGCCCTACTTGGTGCCAGCAGAATTTATGGCAATACAGAATTAGGGGAAAAAGCTGCAGAGATGGTTTTCCAGATGGAGCCTAACAATGCCGGAATGTATATCCTGCTATCAAATTTGTATGCAGCTTCAGGTAGATGGGCTGATGTTGGTACAATGAGATTAAAAATGAGAGATTCAGGGGTAAAGAAAGTCCCAGGTTATAGTTGGCTTCATGTTCAGAACAAAATCCACACCTTCTCAGTTGGGGATTCCACCCATCCAGAGACGGCCAGGATATATGCTTATCTTGAAGAAATGGATTTTAGATTGAAGAAAGAGGGTTACATTTCTTCACCCAAATTAGTATTGCATGATGTGGAAGAGGAAGAAAAGGAGCATATGCTCAAGTATCATAGTGAAAAGTTGGCCGTGGCATTTGGGATCCTTAATACACAAGCTGGTCGACCAATTCGCGTATTTAAGAACTTGAGGGTGTGTACCAACTGTCACAATGTGATCAAACACATGTCGAAGATTGTGGGTAGGTTGATAATTGTGAGAGACTCTCACCGTTTTCACCATTTTAGGGACGGTGTCTGTTCTTGTGGGGATTATTGGTGATGAGTATTCATCGAGAAGCGTGCTGCGTACTGACCTCAACTCAAGTGGAATACTGTACAAAGTGTGCCGTGAAGCTTTACTCGAGATTTAATTTCAGTTGTTTTATTTCGTTAGCGGAATATTGAACAGTATACATTCTCAGTGAAATTAACAACTCTTGGATGACGTCATTTACAATAGTATCTTCATATATTCTTTATCTCATTGTATTTTATCTATAAAAAGTGGGAAGCTCTAATCACCTCATTAAGGGTGATTGACAAATCATTGTTACGTCATAAGAAGTGGAAAGCTATAATCACTTCATATGTTAACCTCGTTCAATTATCTACCGTTAAATGATGGTCAAGTCATTTATTTTTTTGTCATTTCTTTTTTAAAAATACACCGACCATAATTGTGATTCTACTTCTTTAAGAGCATTGTAATTTTCATCTTTCATGTTGTATAATGTCAAGTTTTCTATATAATTTCCATTTTTTTTTAAAAATCAGATAGAAAATACTAAAATATCAGCATTTCATGAGTTTTAACCGTTTGAGAGAGGAACCAAATCCTTACAAACCACTATAACTATCTTGTACTTTCAAAACTGCAAAAGACAAAAGGTGATATATCTGACAAACCTCTAAGACCAAATTTCAGTTTACTCGGAGAATTATTGTGCTTGTACAAGACCTATTCTATTGCAGATCATCGTTAAAACAAAAGGTAGAAAATAAAGCACGGGTGGTTTCCCTTTCCGGCTACGCATAAAGAAAACGAGATTTTTGAGTCCTTAGCACAAAGCATATACAAACTCATATTCTAACTATTTTTTTATTAACCTGGATATCCAACCCGTTATGCGAGCCGACTAATCCTAGGGCAACCACCTGCTTTGCAGATAGCCCAGAGTCACCGCATTGGAACCTCCGTGGCCACAAGTGAATTTTTATTCCTCATTAAATTTGAACCTGATATTTTTATTCATATTCTAACTATTGTAGCCATCCTCGAGTAAAGTCACTTGTACAGTTGGCATCTCAAAATAAATGTCCACATTTCTATTTCAGTTTGTTCTACTATTATTAAAGATAGAACTATCATTTACTTGATTTAAAAAATGTAATAATTACACATTTCAAAAAGTGGAGACATTTATTTTGGGACAAAGAGAGTAAAAAAGCAGAGTGACTTCAGAAGCAATAATAAAAGAGAAAGCAAGTTTGTTATTAGAGCATGGCAGAAGTTGGACTCAAATCACTTGAGATACAGAATCCAAACATAGAAAGAGGGTATGCTTGAAAACTTGTAAAACTAAAGAAATAGCATCATCTATTACAAGTACCAGACTCATTTTGATTACTTGTGTGCCTTCTTCAAAATGTAGTACAAGAAAGAAAACCTGCAAAAAAAATGAATGTCTGCAAATTAGCTTTCAAATTAACACCAGCAAGAGAGAGAATATGATACTACGCATATAGATTTGCAGAATGTGATAAATGATCATCAAGGAGGATTGATTACATAAAAAAAAAATTAGAAATTTCAGAAAGAAAAAATACAACAATTAGATGTGATGAACAATTAAACAATATGTCGATAGTTTGAGAAAAAAACGTGTATAAATTGTTTCTGTAAAAGTGATTCAATTATGCACCTACTGTCAACCCTTGGAGGGAGCTCAACTGGTATGGCCTCGGGTTTGCTCCTCAATGTTGACCGGTTCGAGTCACCTCAGGGTTGTGTGGCTGTTAACTTCATGGGATTACGCCCAAGCTGGTTTGGACACCACAGTTATCCAAGATAATAAGATGTGTTTGAGAGTTCCTAGGCTCTTTCCTGTCTGATCTACAATTCCAAAAGCTAAAAAGATAATACCAAAAACATGCTAGGGCTAAAAGGTCAACTTTGGGTCTACAATCCAAGACCAAGAACACAAAATACATCAAACTGAACCTCGTACACCTACTATGCTATGTGCGATGCCTATGTCCTCGATCATGAGAATGGAAGCGTCTTTTTAATTGATTTCTCAGCCTATATGTGGGTTCAAATACCTAGAAGCTAAAACTAGACAGTATCCTTTTTTCAGTTAGGGCTGGAAACTGACCTCCCAAAATAAAAGTACTAGTGTTAAAAAAAAACATTAAACAGAGCTGGGTGATCGATTGACCTTCTAACACTTCAATCATCTAAGCGATTGCTTAGGTGGAACCATAAATGGTACTCCCTCCATCCCAAAATAAGTGTCCATTTTCAAAAGTAAGACATTCTTTCAAATTTTACTCATAATTATGAGATGGAGAATAGATAAATTCATTACTCTCTCCATTATCAAAGGTAATTTTTCATGCAAGTCATAGTGGACGGGTGCTCTTATTGATTTTTACAAAATAATAAATGGAGCAATTTGAGAACTGAAAATCTTTATGAAGCATGAAAAAATAATTAGAAAGAGTAATATCTTACCGCATATCTGATTGAGTGAAAAGTAGCTCTTCTGTGATTTCATTTTACCACCATCTGAAATGGGCGTAACTCCGATTGGTGGAAGCAAGTCCATGAAGAACCTCCCTTTTCTTACGTGCAGTTCCCCTCTTCCGATAAGCATCCATTATCTCAGCAAATAAACATTCCTCCAATCTAGAGCTGTGATTAGTCCGTCGTTTGAAAGCTGCATCAAGGACCCAGCGAACGGCTAAGGTCTGTTGACGATCCTTGGCTACAACCCCAGGGACATCATAAATATTACCTGCTATCCTTACTTTTGCTACTTCACATATGGGTTTCACATTCTCAAGGGCATCGGCTATGAGTTGAACTCCGTCACGGTCGGTACGAGCTAAGCGATGAAGAGTTTCATGAAAAATAGCTCGAACTATTGTTTTTTTACCTTGTTTCATACGAAAATTGACCAACTTATGGACCAATTGTTTTTTATCACCATCCAGACCCCCCATATAGTTAAGAATTTCTGAGCCATTGTAAGCTCCTTTCGACGAAGTAGTGGTCGAATAATGTTGTAAAAAAAGTGGTGAGATGGGTGAATGAAGTTCTCTTACAAGACCATTCCACTGCTTACAAGCAGCAACTCGAATCATTTTTCTTAAACTAGCCTTAGTGATTTATGCTACTTGATTATAAGATCTGAAAACCTGCAATCAGAAACAAAACTTGAAAAGAAAATAATCGATAGGCCCATGGGGAGAGCCGGGGTGGTTTTACTAAATGTAATTATGTAAATACATAAATAAATAAACGAATATACAAAGATATTATATTAATGAAGTAATTAATCTAAATGTTTGTAACTACGTTATAAGTTGATACAGAGTATTAATTTCCAAGTAAAAAGATTCACCTTCAAAAGGTGAAATACTTCCATAAAAAATAGCAAAAAAAGTGGACTGGTGGAGCATCCAACAGGGCAACACACCGGGACACTAGCCGAAGATGTTGTTTGATGTTCAAACACCATAGTAATGACTTGAGCTATTTAAACTTTTGAGTAAATTACACTTTTGGTCCCTTTGGTTGCCACTCACTATCAAGTCTAGTCCCTACTATCTATACCACCTTATAAACCAGATTTATCAAAAGTCTTAAAAACAATATTTAATGCACAAAGTACTATACATTTATACACACAGTCTTAAAAACAACTCATAATGCATTAAGTACTACTACTTTATGCATTCAGTCTTAAAATCTCCTAATCTACAATTAAAATAACATATAGTACAAGTTACCAATGCACATTATTACATTTTCTTTTCATGTTCCCAAGATACTTTTGACACTTTTCACTCATGCCTTCACCCTCTCACACCTCTATGTCTTCTCCCCATCCCCAAGGTGAGATTCAAACTGATATTCACCATGAATTATTAAAAGTTCCCCCATTCAATTGCTCTAGAACTCTCGGTCTTGCTCTTGATCGCTTGATTCTTTGCTTTTGGTGTAAATCGAACACATTTGTGGAGTCGCTTAAATATGTTGGATTTTAAATATATTGGATTTTAAACTGTCATACAATTTTTTTCATCGATAGACTGTAATTGGAACCATAACTCTTATTTATTCAAATTGTATTAATACGTAAAGACCAAGTGTAACTTATATGATCGTGAAATCTTCATAATAAAACTAGTGAAACTTCAAAATTGTTAAAATTCAAGGCTTCAGCCGCATTGCGTGGGTACACGACTAGTAAACTAACTATACGCTTGATCAGTGTGGTTGCCATTTTGTTTCGCTTTTGGTCCTTGTAGCTAACCGTGTTAACAAAGTTCGTTAACTCAAAGTATTTTGCTATTTTCTCGTTTACTTAATTTTTATATTAGAGAATTAAACAAAAATATTATTATAGTACATATACTCACCCCATCCATTTTCTTCTCCAATCGTAAACCTCGTCAGCAACCATGGGTTCATCGGTCCGGTCACTTGCTCATCCCTTTCTCCGCCTTCTACAACTCCGCTCTCCTCTCTAGATATGGGCTTTTTAATAGTCAAACAACATTTTCGGCTCCCATTTCTCCTTGCACATGTACCATTTCCGGTGACCATTCCCCTTGCACAAATGCAATTTCCGGTACCCTTTCCCCTTTCACACACTATAGCTACCATGAACCTCATCAACCCCGCTTTAAGAGCACTCCCTCCCCTACCCCTCCGGTAATCCTCCAGCAGCGAAACCATCGTCTTCTGCCCCTATGTGTGTGTGAACACCTACAACACCTCCTATCCCCTGCACACACTCATCGGTCATCTTCAGATGTGTGTGTCAGAAATGGTTGTGTGTGTATATAAGATCTGGTTATTGTAGAACCAGCATCGCATATCTAATTTTGTTTTACTAAGGTGAAAAACAATGACAAAACACACAGAGAACTCAGGTTTGTTCTATTTCTCTTTGATCATAAGTGAGGGAGTTGGGCTGTACGTGGGCTCTGTAGTAGCCCAATGCGCGACTAGAATATTTTAAACTAAAAATACTTTAATATAATAATTATCAATTACTTTAATTTCTTTAAAACTAAAAATACTTTAATAAGATAATCATTAAATTGAAAAACATAGGCGTTTAATATATTCAAAAGCTTCAAGGCTTGTGTTGGGGATGAAACAGGAAAGACTATTAAGACTCTTGAAACTGATCATGGTGGCGAATATTGCTCTAAGGCATTTGAAGAGATCTCACAACCATTTACATTGCAACAAAACAGTGTATCAGAGAAAGAAAATAGAAGCATTCTCAATACGGTTAGTAGCAAGTTGGCTAGAGGAAGAGTTCCATAGATGTTTTGGCTAGAAGCAGCCAATTGAAGCATCAACCTCTTGAATAGAAGTCTCATTTCTCTTCAGACATGACGGTTGAGGATGTTTGGAATGATATACCCTGAATGAGAAAGGAAGATGCTTGATGATGATGGCAAAAAAAGGGTCTTTTTTGGCATTGATGAAGCATCCAAGGCTTACAAAGAAATTGTGACCAAGACAGGTTGTATTTGATGAAAAAAACACAAGGGATTAGAATAAGCAATTGCCTAGTAAAATCAACATGATGATGAAGTTGAAGAAATAGCTCCAATACCCCATTTTGCAAGAAACTAGTGCAACAACTCAAGCAAGGCTCTGTATTCGGAGAAGGCCTACATGGATGCTAGTATATGAGGTAAGCACCAATGGTAATGCAGTTACCCAATTAGCAGTGAATGCAAATTGTGATAAAAACAAGTTTTGAAAATGCTATATAAATTCAAGCCAATTAAAAGAGTGATACTTGAAAGCTAATTGATCTTCCAATAGCAATTACCTAGCAAATTGTTGGTCTTAGTTAGTGGTATTTTTTCTGTCTTTTATTCTATAAACTAAAAAGTTGTACTTGATTTTAAGGGTAAGTAATACATAATTTCACTTGTCATCCTCAACACAATCTTTTTGAGTTGTGATGCAAAGCATTGGTGACAAGTGGGTTTACAAGACGAAGCTTAGAAAAAAGATGGTGGGTCATTCTGTTTTTGTAACATATCGTTCATGGTGCATACATAAACAAATTTAGGAGCCGTTTACCTAAATGCTTACCCGGTAAGTGCTTACCGATAGGATTCAACATTATATGTTATTTTGATACTTAAGATTTTAGTACATAAAAAACATATTGAATGCAACAAGTTACTGGGTAAGTGCTTACCGGGGTAACAGTCGCCGTCCTTACTTACCGGGTAAAACTCTCTATCTTTTTCATTGCTCTTACCTAGTAATAGTTCCATTAAGAGGCAACCTCTGAATCGTTATGAGGTGAATCTTGTTTGGCAAAAAAAAATCTGCCTCTTAATGGTTCTAACCCTCTGAATGATTTTGGATTGTGATAACGAGATCGAGCAAGCAGAGAGAAACAAAATCGAGATCGATCAGGGAGAAATCGAAAGACTAAAGAGAAATCAAACCTGTTTAGCAATGGAGAAGCAAGAAATCAAACCTGTTTAGCGAGCTGGTGTCGGCTTGTTGAGGAGAAAATACTGTCGGGCTTCTTGTGAGATTAAGGTATTATCAGATGGGGTGAACGTATATCGGGCATAAAATAAGAAATTTCATTCAATTAAAATCCCATTTATTTATCAAAAGCCATGGAATTTTAGGAATCTAAAGATTCCTTCCGTTGAAAAAAAATGAACCAAAACGAAAGAAATGAATCTGGTTAAAGGAATTCAACAATTCAGATTCCTCCAGAATTTGCAAACCAAACACCACCTTAGGGTCTAATGATTTTTGGCATTTGGGATTGAGGGTTGATCATGTGTTCCCGGATAAATTAAACTTTTTTGTTGTTGGATACTTGAATATTAGTTCACTACCAGGAAGCCTCACTCGCAATTTTTTTTTTATTTTTGCAATCGTAATTCAACTTCTTTGACTTCCTGTCGATTTTTGTTGGTAATATCAGTATCACAAATAAATCTAGTTTTCATCAAAAAAAGGTCCCTGAAATATGCATCTTAATTCGACCGAAAATGTATGTCTGTTGTCTTATCCTTGTTTCAGGGTTTAGTGATTTTTGCATGCTTGACTTTGGTATGAATCTCTTAATTGGATTTCCCAAATACGCCACAAAATGGACCTACTACCATGGACACGACAGAACCCTAATCAATGCTACGCATAAAAGTTCCATAGAGATGATATTGGAGAATAATGACACTTAGTTCAAATGTAAAATAGCCTCACTAAGATACCAATTAATGGAACTGTGCAAATTAGACAAACAGCAAAAAAGTTTAATCGATCCAAATACTTAATCATGTTCTTAGTTCTAAAAAGAACATCAAAACCCTACAATAGAGCTTAGAATAGACGAAAGAATAAAAACAAAATTGAGCCATACAGGTTTTATAGATATGTATATATGTATGTAAACTGAAATCGAAAGTAGAATCAGAAAATTACCGGAAGGAGACGGAGGGTGTGAGGCTGATGGCAGATGCGCAGAGAGAGAGAGCGTCGGGAGCGCGAGCGTATGTCGGTAATTTTTAAGAAAAAAAGGTGAGAAATGAGACCACTAAGAATTGGGCCTTGATGGCCCTTGGGCCTCTACTACCCTGGGCCATCGATCGTCCTTCATATGAAATTACAAAATTAATGGTTGATAGAATTTTTAAAATTCAATTTATCTTATGAAAAAATTAAATGTTTGAGTGGAATTTGGTCGATGAAATTATTATTTTAATTTCATTAAATTTTATTGGGATTTTATGAACCAAACGGGATATTAGTCATATTTATTAATTTTTATATGAATTTAATCTCTTTTACAGCCATAAAATTGTTGTTATCTTCTCAACATAACTCTTATTCTCACCAAAATCCAACCATATATATAGGGTTAGGTTCATGTGAGATCAATGGTTTTTCGTGAGACCCGTAAGACCATTTTATATTCATTGATCAATTTTATAAGATAATGATTTAATAGTTTAAAAGTTGCACGATGGCAATTTTTGTGATTATTGAGAAGTCTCGTGGCAATTTTGTGATTATGAATGTTCAGATTGTAGATCTAATCCAAAGATTGAGAATTGGTCTTACGGGTCTCACGAAAAACCCTTGGTCTCATATGATCCCAAATCTATATAATATATATATATATATATATGTGTGTGTGTGTGTGTGTGTGTGTGTGTAAGGAGACGTTCTTTTAAAACGTTTTTTGAATTCGTGAGATCCAATTTATACCACAAAAATTTGTTGAAAAATAAAATTTAATATAAATTAAAAATCTCTACCTCCTTTTCTCCTCTATCCTTTTTTTTTCTTTCATCTCTCTTCTATACTCTCTTGTTTTCCCTCTCATCTCTCTGTAACATACACATCATCAAATATGCGTATAAAATGAACACAATGTGAACATTTTATTGAAAACATTATTATAGTTTATAATACACTCTAAAGCCCATATATGAATTAGTGAGAGAGGTTATATCTGTTTGGTAAAAAAATTTGACTGTTTTGAACTGTTCCAAAATGTATGATTCATCCTCTAACACCTTATCGTATCGTTCAGAGACGTGTTTTTTCACACGTTACCTTTGCTTCTCCAATCTCCTTTGTGTCATCCATCGATTCTAATATCGTGAAATTGTTCTCATATCTAGCCCATTTTTCTACTCCGTATCTTGTTGCTCACATCTCTCCTATGAATCTCATAGGAATGTGAAAACCTATCCATTTCTAGGTTTCAAACAATGATTGGTCTGGTATTTTGCAATTCGGTAAATATGGCATCCATCTCGTTGAGAAAAATGTTCATAGAGCCCATTTCTTAGTGTTGGTGCAGAGTTGATGAAATTTAGGCCATTGCTCATCTCCACCGGTACTTATGTTCCTCACTTTGAATGTTTGCTATTCATCAAAGATAACTCCACCCTTCATTTGAAAACATATATATATATATATATATATATATATAGGCCTAATCAAATGAGAACTGATTAGTTTGTGGTAACTGTAAGAACCAATGTGAGCCAATCATTTAAATAATTAATATTATATCCTAAAATAAAATAAAGGGTAAATTGGTAATGTTTATAAATCATAAAACCCTAACCCTCTTGTTCTTCCTTCTTTCATCGACTAACCCTCTTTTCCTATTGCTGCTTCTTCTTCTTCATCAAGCCGGCCGACGATCTTCTTCATCAAGCCGGCCGACGATAACGCGCCCTCTCACTCCCGCTGGAGATTGAACAAGGTATTGCTTTCATAACTTGTCATGTTGGATCCGATTCCATCAACACTAGAAGATAGAGGACCATTCATCACAGGGGCAGATCGGCTTCGCCTCCCTCCCGTGGAAACCCGGTCTAAGATGCGGCGGCACAAACCTATTCGTCTTTGGCAACACCGACGAATCCTTACTCTGTATCAGAGGAAACGTCAGATGAGACAACGGTGGGGCCAACCAGTTCGACCAAGTGGGCGGAGGGAAATAGAGTCCGATTCTACCGGAGGCTGATCTGGTGGTTGTGTAGCAGGAGGAGGAGATGGTTGCCGAGGAGAAACGATGGGTTTGGGAGATGGGGACTCAAGACAAGGATGTTTCCACAGTGTAACATAGTGTATCACAGTGTATCACAATGTTCGGTTTCATTATTTTTGCTTGTTTTATCAAGRTGTATCACATGTTTTTATGGTTTGAGTTGGTATCACAATGGTATCACAGTATATCACAATGGGTATCACATTGTGTATCTTTGTGATTAATTTGTACATAACGGAATAATGTTGGCCGGAGATTGGAGGTCGGAGATTGGAGGTCGGAGAGAGGAGGTCGGAGAGAGGAGGTCGGAGAGAGGAGAGATTAATTTTTTTAAAATACCTAAAATGCCCTCTAATTATAATTTTAACTTAAAATACCATAATTACTAATTTCCTTATTTATCCGTTGATTTGTGGTTAAGATTGGTTCTCACAGTTACCACAAACTAATCAGTTCTCTCTTGAATGGACCCCTATATAGATATATATAAAGAGAGAGAGAGAGAGAGAGACTGGTTAGATTATAAACCGTCTGATTCGTGAAAACTATGTAAATCACTCTCGACTAATACAAAATTTTTCGTTTTTTATTTTTTAATTTTAATAAGTAAGGGCATAATTGTCATTTTACTATATAATGGTTAAACAATACATTTAAGCATAACCAGATTAGATTCGTGTTCCTATTACAAGTAGAGATTCAAGAGACTTAATCCCATTTTTGCACTATTGAAGATTATATATTTGGTATCAGTGGTTCTTCTTTCTCTTTTAGTTTTATTACTTTATATGAATTTAATTTGTTTTACAATATTATTTAAAACACTAACACAGATAAGTGTGTGTGTATGTATGCCACCTTTGGGCAGGGACGAACCCATAATTTTTTTTCAAACGGTGACACCATATAATTAATATAGTGTAATATAGACCCAAAAATAATTACAAAAATTATGATTTTTATAGGAGCGATTAACAACTCCTAAGTTTGTACCTTACACGTCTTCATCTTTTAAAAACGGTCAATATATACCCAAAAATAATTAAAAAATATATGGTTTTTAAAGAATTGAGAAACAACTTCTAAATTTGTCCTTGGCGTGTTTTCATCTTTTGGAAACGATCGATGACATCTTCATTTTTAACATATTATCATGTGCTTCTTTTTTTATGGCACAAATGAGAGCATAATTCAAAAAGTCAGTCATGACCAATTCGATTACGTAAATCTGTCTTAACAAACTTCATTGTTGAAAAGTATCTTTCAACCGTAGCAGTTGCAACGGGTAAAACTAGTGTTAGCTTCAATAATCAGTAGACTAAATGATGAGAAATATATTTTCTTGTTGCCATCATGAATCTAGCAAGGTAGGCAATGCGGTTTAAGTTGGCAAATCTGACATCATTATAAACAAAATGATAGTAGATGTCAAGTTCGTTCTCAAGAATTATTCGTCTAAGTAATGGAGCAAATCAAGCAATAAACTGTAAAATGTAAATAAAACAATAAATAAACTAATAAAGCAATGAGAAAACAGATAACAAAGCACCAAATAATCAACGTCTATTTAAAATTGTAAATCAACATTTATCACAAATTCACAATCATAATATGTAAATATGTAATGACTAATTAGCTAAATAAGTAATAAATATGTACAATTGTAAATCAAGATCAAGACATCAAGTACAACTAATCAGTAATGTAAAAATACTAAAATAGTAAAAATGTATACCTAAATATGAAAATAGACACAATGTACCAAGTGAGTTGATCGAGTCATGGAGTGAGTTGATCCTTGATTGAGTTGATTCATCCCTAGACCTGGTTGCACCCGAAAATCGCCTAATTCATCCCTAGACCTGGTCGCACACAACACACTCGCACTCGATATATGTTACTTTGGATTTTGGCCTTTTGGGTAAGTCTTAACATGGCAATAGGATGTAATATGAAAATATGAAATTGGGCTTTCAAGTTTCAATTTGGTGGGTTTAATTTGGAATTGGGCTTTCAATTTATTTTGGTTTAGTTTAGAATTGACAATTTGGGTTTAATATGAAATTGGGTTTAATTAGATTACTAGAATTTAAAATTTGGGCTTATTTAATATACTAAGTTTTTTTAAGTTTCAGTTGCACTTGCACCCTTTTAAGTTTCTAAAATAATACGGTAACACATTCTAAGACGATACGGTTGCACCTTTCATGAACCTAAATAGTTTTACCCTTCGGCGGAGAAATAAAACGGTGGCATGTACCACCTATACTACTATTACAAGTTCGTCCCCGCCTTTGGACACGCCTTGAAAAACATCGTGGCCTTGTCGTAACTCGTAAGGCTTGAGTTTTTATATCACCTCTATGTCATGTTTTACGTCATTTAGAACCTTGATTATAAATATATAGAATATGATATAGACAAATGATCGTGTGAGAATTGGAGTTAAGACAAGAAGTATAAGATATGATCTAGACTTTAATCACTTTTAATCTCACTCTCACCTTAAGAATTGCGCTTATCACGAGAACTAATCCAGTGCACCTCACCGCATTAGTGTTGATCTTCAATTACGATTGATCAAATGATGGAGATCCCTTCTTACATTTCTCATTATAAATTGCATTCTCGTTGGAACCTAACACATATGATATATATATATATATATATATATATATAGAGAGAGAGAGAGAGAGAGAGAGAGAATGGTTTAAACGAGAACACCTTCATTTCACGAGAACATGAGAACACTCTTTAACTATAGACAATCACATGTGATCTTATTTTCCATCACATATAATACAAATGTGATACTTAATCAGAGACATGCGAACGACTTCGGGTATGATCTAGGTTGCGAGCCAAGTGGCCCACACACCACTAAGTCCCTTCACGTGTATTATCACATGTGATAAGTGTGTTCTTAATATGATACTATAATTTATCACATGTGATATCAAATCATAGATGTAGACGACCTTTGGCACGACCTAAGTCGCATGACACGTCTTCCCACACATCACCAGGTCCTCTCATGTGTATTATCACATGCAATAAGGATGTTCTTGCGTTCTCATAAAATGGAAGTGTTATCGTTTGATCCTCAACACACACATATACATGGTCGGGGTTCAGTGAGAAATGTAAGAAGAGACTTTCACCCTTAGATGCACATTATGATGAGATGCATTAAGATGAGATGCACGTAGATGAATTCCTGTATCAAGCACGATTCTTGAATGAGTTTGAGATTGAAGGTGATCAAGGGTCTAATCCCTTCTTACGCTTCTCACATGATCTTTCATTTACATAGATACATACATACGTACATACATACATACGTACATACGTACATACATACATACGTACGTACGTACATACATACATACATACATACATACATACATACATACATACATACATACATGGAAGGTTCATTTGAGAAGTGATAAGTATTCGAGAAATAAAGAAATGATCCTAACCATTCATTTAATCAACATTTTACAGCTTTGACTGTGAAACACAAGATAATTTCTCGCATGGGTATACGAAAGATAGAGGAGTAATTTCGTAACTTTTACAAATAGGCGGCAAATGAGTTCATATATGAACCCGTGTGATTCACATATGAACTATATGTTCATATGTGAACCTATTAATTAGTTCCCATTTGAATCAATTAATTAGTTTATATGTAAATCACACGAATCATATGTGAATTAATTAAAATATATCATACGTGAATTACACGGGTTCACATATGAACATATAATTCATATATGAATCATACGGGTTCACATATGAACCTGTTTGTCGCCTATTTGTAAAAATTACGAAACTGTTTCCTCTATTTTCTGCATAGCCGTAAATCTTGACCAGTCAAAACCTCAATTCTTGATCAGTTAAATCCGATTTTGACCGTATGAAGGGCTAAGATCACTCATTTACTTCTCAAATATTTACTATTTTTCAAAATAACCTCTATATATATATTATATAAAATTTAACGGATGAAAGTTAATAATCGTTAGTAAGAATTATCCAATTCGATAACTTTTATAAACCAGAATGGTGATATTATATTTTTTAAATTGTATGGATGAAAACGTTGTAACCGAACAACCACATGGACCAGATATGTAGTTTACTTTTACTTTTATTGAATCAATCATTGTAATTTATGATAAAATACACACTTGTCAAACAAAGTGAACAATCAACACTTTTCCAACTGGCCACAAAAATACATATTCTTCTTTTTCTTTCAATAATGCACACCGAATCTTTTCCTCTTTTACTTTTTTCTTACTCATAAATTTACCAACTATTTTGTCTACCATTCGATTTAATATATAATATAAATTTAACAACTATTTTGTCTACCATTTTTTAAATAGTGTCTTATAAAATGGCTAATATAACGTTTTATTTATAAAAATGTCCTAGAAACTTGTCATGACGTCAAAACACGTCCTATAAACTTATTACAATATCTTTAGATATAAACCTAATTCTATGTATATTTACAACTTACTGTTACATATATTTGAATTTTATAAAACTATCTCGTAACTAATATATATCTTTAATCGAATAATGTTATCAACTATGTATAAAAAAATAAACACCCAAAAAACCATATACTACAGTCCGACCTTTTTATTGTTCCAAAAGAAAACCATCAATGTGACAATCATCACTGAACATGGTTGCCACCTATAGTGTCTATATATATATATTATAGGCTACAAATCTAGCACATTTGTGCTAAGGAAATCCAACGCAAAAAAATAGAATAAAACACCAAGTTTCCTCTCAATGTGTTTTTCTAAAGCCACTTCCATGATACTCGTTTTCTTGTTTAGCCTCATCTTGTCAAGCTCCAATGCCATCACACATCCAAGAACCCACTCGCATCATGCTATTAAAGCCTTCCTATCTCTCCAAAACCAAGCTCGCGCTGCAATTCGCATGCCACCACTCGTGTGGGACAAACGTCTAGCACGCTATGCCAACATCTACGCTAGGCAGAGGCGACAAGATTGTTCGTTGAAGCATTCCAACGGGCCCTATGGGGAGAACATATTTTGGGGGAGTGGTAGCAGGTGGAGTCCTGCTCAAGCCGCCGCCACATGGGTGTCGGAGGGGCGGTGGTACAACCACCAGTTGAATTCATGCAACGGGGGGAAGGAATGTGGGCATTACACACAAATTGTATGGCGAAGAAGCAGGCGTATTGGGTGTGCTCGGGTGACTTGTTTTGGGGGTAGGGGCGTGTTCATGATTTGTAACTATGATCCTCCCGGAAATTATATCGGCGAGAAGCCTTATTGATGGTAAATTCGTATTTTTTATTTCTAAGAATATGTCAATTTTGTACAAATTATTGTAATATTATTAGCCATTTATGTAAAAACGGAATTGTTGTTTTAATAATACTAGAATGGTGCTCCTATAATATGGCGAGATATATCTTAATTTTAATGTATCGTGTTTTTAATGGTTTTGAGAAATCGATAATGTTTTTATTTAAAGATTTCATAAAATTTTGAAACAAAATATATATATCGATATTAGTGTCAGATTTACTATTTAAAGTTCTCGTTTTTTGAGTAATTTCTTTAATTCAATATATAATTTATAATTTAATTTAAATTTAGTAACAAAGTAATTTATTAATCGTTCAATAAACAATACTTTATGCATAAAAAAATGATTTTTAAGAATTTTTGTCAAATGTTTTATTATAGAACTAAAAGGGTACTCGTGCAATTCATCAAGATACATCTTGATTTCAGTGTTTCGTTTTATTCCTTTTTGATGTCGATATAATACGGTTTTATGTGGTTTTGAAAAAGCAATAAAGTTTTTATTTTTGAATAAAATATAAATTTACAAATATTATAAATTTTTGAAAAAAAAAAATATCGATATCAGTATCAAGTTAATCTTTTTAAAAGTTCTTGTGTAATTTCCTTAATTCAAAATTTTTAATTATAATTTAATTTAAGTTTAATAATATAATTTTAATAAAGATAATAATTAATTATTCTGTTAGAGTTTAATGATTATCCTAATTATATTATAGATTTTTTATATTTAACATGAGATGTTTATCCTGTATTTGATTATGTTTATCTGCAGTTAGTTATAATAATTCAAAGATAGAGATTTAATAAGTTGTACTTAAGCACAATCTACTTGTAATCTTTAATTTTAAGTAATATGCATCAATAAACAGTACTTCAGACATAAAAAAATAATTTTTAAAAGTTTTTGTCAAATGCTTTAAAATCTAAACAATGAGTCCAACACATTTCGGTGATTAAAATTTATTTATTTGCTTTAAAATTCTTTAAATAAAATATTTTGAAAAACAAAATAAAAAAATATATAAAAACCATATGTGACCACTTTTTGAGGATAGGGCTAACATGGGAGTTTAGTCGATGCTGCCCCACATCCAACCAATGCTTGTCTTTACACTGAAAAACTTCAAAATTTTGTCGTTTTGTATTAAAATAAATCTCGGTAAAATGAAAATAATTGTGAATTAAGCACGAATTTTACAATGGTTTATCGATAGTTTTTATTGATACTTTTTTTTTTAATTTTAGTTAAATGTTTGACGATAAACCGTTGGTAAATGTTAGAGCTTAATTATGCACGGCTTATCGATGGTTTTCTTGATAAAAACCAAAAAAAAATTGTAATTTAAGTTAAGAGATAGTCGATAATTAATCGGAAAAATTAAGAATTTTTCTAATAATTATCGATGGTTCGATAAACCGTTATTAAAGTTTGTAATTTTCAACGGTTTACCAATGGGCTTTTATAAAACAGATGAAAAATGAGAACATTTAACATAATTATCGTCGGTGCTCCGACGATTTACCAAAGCAAAACAATTGTTTATAAGTCAGTATATCGCAATAGATCATCAACGAATGTTATTTCCACAACTATCCATTGATATTATGCCGATAAATTGCCTTATAGAAATTTCGTTTTTATGATTGTGTGCACTTGATAGACCATCGTAACAGACGGTTGTCGCTGTTGGTAATAATCGTCGATGATGGATTCCTTTATATAATGAAATTGTTCATTCCTAATTAATTAATTCAAATTCTACTTGTCACACCCTAAAATGTGGTAAATAAATCAATATGAAAAGAAGAGAAGAAAAATAAAATGAAGTTGGTTTTTATTTTATTGACCAAAAATGTGGAAAAAAAACGTGAAAATTGGACAATCATACAGTTTAAGGAAAGTGAGAAATGAAGAAAATAGTTTATGTTCAAACAGACCAACAAGGAAAGAAAATGTCAAAACAAGGGTGAAAAGTGTAATGTTGAGCAAAACATTAAAGGCAGGGAGTCAAATGTAATTACCTAATAGTTTAGGGACTGTATCAGACATCAACTGATATTACCAGAGGGACCTGTTATGTAAATATGACAGATATGAACTTTTGAAAGGAATGGAAAGATGGTCGATCTTTGAGGTCTCTCATTGGTTCGTTTGATCAATGAAAAAGCCAAATAAACTTCAGATTTGAATAGCTAACATTTTACATTTTCGGTTAAAGAGAATCGAAATTTCGTCCAATTTGGAAGAGAAATCGGAAGTTGAAGTCCAAAAACTCCGTTTATCGACAATTGGAGGTAAAATACCCAACCAAACTTTGATTTCTTTATATGGTTAGCTTTGTTGTTAAGTCCTCTATCGAATCTTAGTAGCCTTTATGTCTCAAATTTTAGTTTGAATGTCCGATTTTGAGTTTTTGTTTTAATGATTTTTGAGTGGTTTTAAAACCCCAACTTTCAATGAGAAAATAAGACCTAATATTTGATGGTTTTCGGTGTTTTTGTTTCTATGGTTGTGGGAAATCATTTTTCAAGAGTTTTAGTGGAAAGAATCAATAAAAATGGACAAAAAACAAGGCCAAACGGCTTGAAGAAGCTGTTGTTGACGACAACTCCTCGTGTCTAGTCAGCTACATGGATCCGGCTAGGACCGGGTGGGGTTTTCGGGTCCGTGCTTGGTTCAGATTAAATGGATAACAAGTGGGGCTATTTGTGGGCTTCTGTTATGTCGTGAGCCATCAAATTTTATTAGATGAAAGCTAAGTTCTTGTTGGGCATAGGCTATTCAATCCAAAATATTAAAGAGTCCAAGTTAATCATTTAATTGGAATTTTTATTGGATTTAATTAAGTAGAATTTATTAATTTACTGGAAGATAAATTTATAATTTGAAATTTTGTTAATCAATTTGATTTCTATTTTAGTATATATATTAATTTAAATTATATTTAATTAAATATATTAATTTAATTTAAAAAAATTAGATCATTTTAATTAATTATTTTTAAGAATGGGGTGTTTATAATAAATCATTAAATTATGTTGATGATTTAATAATGGAATTAGAACGACGTAATGAGTTATGTATTTAGTGGTACACTTTAATTTGGCGGGATGTATTTATAAGATTATAAAAGTGACGTCATCGAGATATAAACTTCGGTTTGACTAAAGTTGGTCGAGGTTGACCGAATTGACCGGTGATTTACTTTTATCTCATTTGACCCACAAGAATTTTAACGATGAGATATAATGGAGATATTTGAGGCATTAAGAGACTCGATTTTGGGGTTTGACTTTATGTGAAGTTGAGTTTGACCATAGTTGACTATTTTTGACTTTTGAAAAAATTAAGTCGTTAATTTGAACATTATCTATAATACCTTATAAACTAGATTTATCAAAAGTTTTAAAAACATTTTTTAATGTACAAAGTACTATACATTTATGTACAAAGTCTTAAAAACAACTCATAATGCATTAAGTACTACTACTTTATACATTCGGTCTTAAATCTCTTAATTTACAATTAAAATAACATATAGTACAAGTTAACAATGCACATTATTACCTTTTCTTTTCATGTTCTCAATATACTTTTGACACCTTTCACTCATGCCTTCACCCTCTCACACCTCTATGTCTTTTCTCCATCCACCAAAGTGAGATTCAAATTGATATTCTCATGAGTTATTAAAAGATCTTTCATTCATCTCCCATTCAGTTGCTCTAGAACTCTTGATCTCGCTCTCTTGATTCTTTGCTCTTGGTGTAAATCGAATATGTTTGTAAAGTCGTTTAAATATGTTGGATTTTAAATATATAGAATTTTAAACTATCATACAATTTTTTTTATCGAGAATGTAATTGGAGCCATAACTCTTATTTATCAAATTGTATTAATATGTAAATACTAAGTGTAACTTATATCATCGTTAAATCTTCTCTAATAAAACCAGTGAAACTTCAAAATCATTAAAGTTCACGGCTCCCGTCGCATTGTGCGAGTACACAACTAGTGGTATGAAATATGTAGGTCTTCAGTCAAGAGTTATTCTAAATAATTAATAACAATGGAGTTTGATCAGTGATCATTGTATTCAATCTTTATAGACTTCTTTGGGAAATTTCAAGAAGAATCCATATACAGATTTACTCATATAAGGAAGTGAAGGAAGTTGTGTGCTAAATAATAATTAGTAAATACCTTATACCACATTACCATCACGGACGAAAGTATGGCACCACAGTCTAGGGCTCTCGATAGTCGGTGATGGCGGCAGACGACCGACGAGAGCGGGAGCCGGGAGGGAAGGTTGAAGCGACGAAGCCTCGAAGGGAACTAGCCAACTAGGGAAGACGAGGTGGAGACTGGAGCGTCCGACGTCGTAGTCATAGGTGTCGATGAGTCGATCGAAGACGGATCTCTGGAGTCTGGACTCTAATAATATAGATGGGTTTGGGCTATGATGCCCCTTGGGTTGTGGATGCCCAGACAAAGGCCCATGTCCAAGGCCGGCCCTCGTCCCGCATCACTTATAGAAGTAGATGTTGTTCTTTATAGAAGACTATTATTTTGCTCAACTAATCAAGCTATTTGTTGTTGATCAACTTATATTTCTGCTTGGAATCGTACGATCATATATTGATTGTTACATGCAAAAGCCATCGTATTGTCTACAGAAAAGATGAAAATATAAGTCCAGTAAAGGCTTTTATCTCGAATGAGAATCCTTAGTTGTTGCCCCACGGTGGCCGTCAAATTGTTTATGTCAAAAATTTTACAATTGTAATTTAAGGTTTGGATTGCGAGGCTTAATCAGCTACAGATAGAACCTTCGAAATAAACAACACAAATCGCGAAAATAATAAATGAGGTAGGAGATTCCGGTAACGCGGAAACCCCGTTGAGGATAAAAACCCACGGACGATAATAAGTATCGTCAGCGAATTATGGACGTCAAACAGGGACATCGTCCTAAATAACAACGCTTACAATGATAAGTCGTGGATAAACACGATGTGGCGTGTGTAAACTTAAGAAAATAACAATAAGTTCTTTTAACGTGTCTAGTAGGTTTTTCTTCGTGTTTGTATCTTTGTTCTTATGGTTGCTAATAAGCGTCAATCTATTTGATATTTTACACCACTTTTTATTATTTAACGTGGTATTAATTATTAATATGCGTCAATATTTAATGATTCTAGCCAAGTAGATGACGTTATTAGTATGTTAATAATCATGCGTAAAAATATGTTTTAATAAGCAATTTTTGTGATATTTCAAGAATTAGCTCTGATTTTTCCGAAGTTTATAATCATTAGTCGAAAATGATTATTTTCTTGTTGAGAATATTTTTCATGTTGATCGAGATTACGACTTTTTACCTAAACACTTACCTGATAAGTGGTAACAGTCTTTGATACACTTTTCACCATGTAAAACTCCTGGTTTTAGTCATACTTAATTGATAAGGTAAATGACACCCAGTAAATCTTTACCTGATAAAAACATTTAATAAACGATCCTTTAATCAAAATTTTATTAAATACCATGAAGCTAATATACATATGACTTATTAAATTTTTTTAACAAAAAATGTATTTAAAAGTTTCAAACAATTTCTAAAAATAAAAATGTTGATTTATAAGTTGGATGCCCGTGACAGAAGAGACAAGCATACAAACATCTAGAACTCCACGTGTCGAATTTGCAGCTTCAGACGTGGACTCATGTCACATGTTCGAAGATGAATCACGGGTTCAACCAACAAAACTACCCACACACGAGATGGAATAAAATATGTTGTTTGGTCTATTTATAACCATCAATTAAAGGAATACATATTATTTTTTTTCTGAAATTTTAAATTATATATAATAAAATAATTACGTGTATTTACGCAATTTGTGAAACAGAAATTGAGATGATGAATGTTGGTACAAATTTTTATTCTTCACGAGACCTTCCAAATTCCGTCATCTTTCGTTTTTTAGTTGAAATACATTAAAATGTAATATAAATTTATTTTAATTCATATTTAATGTACATTTTTTCAACTTATATTTCTTGAAGTGGTAATTTATTGATAATTGTAATATTTAAGGGGTGTTTACCATATATTAATTATAGGATAATTGTTTACCTGTAAAAGGTCATAACTGTTAATTTACCTTATCATATAACAATTTTGGCTATTAAAAGAGACTGTTGATAAACATCTCTTACTTGATAAGGCTAACTTGGTAAATGTTTTCCCATTTACTTACCGAATAAGTTTTTATGTCCTTAATTAAATCTTACATAGTAAGATTTTCGATACTAATAATACTCATAAAATAAGATAAATAACATCTGGCAAATACTTAACTAATAAGTATTAAAACAATTTATTAAATAGGATGTAAAGCAATTTGTGAGAAAGAGAGTTAATGTGAGAATCGTGATAAAGGATTTGGACCATTGATTAACTTTAATCTCAAACCCACTCATAAATCACTCTTAATATAGGGATTGATCCGGTCGGTGCATCTCATCCTAATATCTATCGAAGGGTGGAGATTTCTTGTTACGTTTCTCGCCTTAACTTTCATTCTCACCAGAACCCAACCCTATATATATTATATATATATATATATATACACACACACAATGATAACAATAAAACAGAGAAACATACCCCACACTAACATGGTTTTGCATGATTGCTAGCCTTCAATCAATGGCATTCACATCTTGAATTCCACTCTCTTTTGCACCCAGATATATACTCCTCCCAACCATGCTACTCCCTCACCTGCCCGCTGCCCGGATTCCATCCGCCTCCATTGCTGCTAAAAATGACACCATTACTTCTCTTCTCCGTCCTCCTCTTAACCTCCCTCCCTCTTTCCTTCTCCTCCACACCAACCCCGAATTTCCACAAAATTCCTGACAACGAAACCGTATACAGAACCTCAAAGCAACTCTGTGTCGGGTGCACGTGGGAGTCGTTTCAATTCTTGTTTGCCCAGAATATGGTTCGGGCAGCCAAGTGGGAAATCCCATTAGGTTGGGATTTCCAGCTCCAAAGGTACGCCCAATGGTGGGCGGGCCAGAGGAAAAGGGATTGTGAGTTGATGCACTCGTTTCCCGAGGATGATTTTAAGTTGGGAGAGAACATATACTGGGGTAGTGGATCATCGTGGTCTCCTGTGGATGCTGTGAATACGTGGGCAGACGAAGAAAAGTACTACAGCTATGCCTCTAATACGTGTGTGCGTGGCCAACAGTGTGGGCATTACACGCAAATCGTGTGGAAAACAACGCGACGAGTCGGGTGCGCCCGAGTGGTTTGCGATACTGGTGATGTCTTTATGACTTGCAACTATGACCCTGTTGGAAATGTTATTGGAGAAAGGCCATACTGATCAACTATCATGACATAATTCCCTTTCAGCTCGATGACTTTAGATGTTAACAGATTTGTGTCACGTTTTATGTGTTATATATTATACCATGTATAAACTATTACATAATTACGTAGATTTAAGCATATATATTGTATCATTAGAATTATATATCTTTCTCTATATATATAAAATGATTTCCTTGTAATACATGGATTTTTTACAAGTGGGATGTGTTTGGGCAATAAGGTCAAGCCTCAAGCTTTACCAGTTACGACGAGATCACGACGTTTTTCAAGACATGTCCTAAGGCGGCAATATATGTATATATGTGTGTGTGTAGAGAGACAGACACACACTTGTATGTGTAAGTGTTTGAATATTAATAGAACAAAAAGAACAATCATTGATACTAAATATATAGAGCTTATAAAAAATGATATCAAGTGTGCAAAATCAGAATATAAATCTTTTGAATCTCAACTCACTATTTTTTTTTAATTTTCAAAGGATTCGTATTCGACTCTTCATGTATGGGGAATTGGGAATGAAAGTAAGTATTTACCCTTCAAGTTTTTAGTTGTTTTTTTTTCTATGTTTATTTAAGTTTTAGGTCTCGTATATAATTATCATTTATTCATTAAATTGTATATTGAACCCCCTCTCCCCCACACCTTATAAAATAACGTGTTGTAATGCACTACAATGCCTTACAATGGAGCCATATGGGTTAACGTGACTACAAACCCAAACCTTGACGCCATAACGAGTTCAGAACTATGATTTTAACCTATAGTTTTAACCTATAAAAATGACATGTAACTTTCTATGGTGGTAAAAATTACTTTTAATTTTTTTAAGAGAATTTGTAAAAAATCCAACAAACTGTACTATTTTAAATGAGGAAGTACATGTACTACATGGACCCATTTTTTTTTTATCATGGTGTATGTTGTTTTGTTTTTATTATGGTGGAAGCATAACTCAGCGGCCGTTTATTAAATACTTACATGGTAAGTGTTTGTTAATAAAATTTAACACTATTATTTACTTATTGGGTAAGATTTTAGTCCATCAAAACAACATCGCATGCAACAATTTACCCGGTAAGTGCTTAACGTGGTTAGAGTCGTCGCCCTCACTTACCGAGTAAGACTCTTGATCCTTGTCTCGCTCTTTCCAGATAAGATTCTTGGTGAGGTAACGTGACTTGGTAAACACTTACCCGAGTAAGCATTTGGTAAACGTCCCCTTAGTGCATTGTTACATGACTAATTTTGCTGCTTAATCCTCTGTTAGCATGTTACCAATTATTTTGTGGGTTAAAAAGATCTATTTGGCCGGTTTAAAAAGTTTAGAGATTTATTCGTTTAAAAAATATTTTGGGATTTAATCATTTAAATTATAAAATTCTTTTGGGTATTTTTAGACTTTTCTTGTAACCAGGTTTATAGGTTAAAAAGATTTTTTAATCACTTCTAGAACTTCAAATGATTTAAATGTCAAAAGAATAATACAAAAATTTAATCGCTCAAAATAAAAAAGTTCGTTAAGTTTTCCTAGACTTGTCCTCTAATATTCACAATTCATATAGAACTACTCATTAATTTAGAAACTAAAACCCCTTTTATAATAAAAGAAATCAAATAATATCAGCTAAAAGTTCATTATAAGTAGATGAACAACCATATACATGTCTATAGTAATCAAGTACTCAAAAGTTTGACCTTTTTATCTGATGAAAATACGGAGGAAATACATTTTGCATGAAATATCTTCCATTCATAAGAACCACAAGATCTCTAGCAAACACAATATCTCGTGTTCTCCTTGTTTGGGTTCCTAATCCCTGACAAAATCTTCCCGTTGTCTTACGTTTTCTTATGGCGACTATTAAAAATTCAAGAACAAGTTTACTTACGATGTTTCTAAGTAACTATGCAGATGCCGAAACGAGTCATTGGAGTCCATGTCGGAAAATCAAGTTAGTAGCTTTGGTGAGACGAAATCCAAAGCTCAAGAAATATGCTTACCCATGGAATCGAGATAGAAACGACAATTACTTGCTAATAAAAATGTAAGTTGCTTTAAACTTATTGTTTTGACTCTAATTATATCAATCCATCCTCCGTAGATTTCAAACTTTTGTATGCACTTTTGACTAGTTTTGACATAAGTTTAATGTTTGGAAAATCACAAAAATAACTGGTTTGGCAACCGATATTTTACTAGATTTTTACTTTATCATGAAATGGGCAGATTATGCAAACTAGCAAGCAAACTGGTAGAGGCAAGAGGAGACAAAGAGCTCCCTCTCCTCTCCAACCCTCTTCTAACCCGAAGCCAGACCCAGGGGCGGACCTGTATGGGAGCATACGGTGGCACGTGCCACCGTATTATTTCGCCTCCGAAGGGTAAAATTTTTAGGTTTGTTAACGGTGCTACCGTATCGTTTCGGAAGGTGCTACCGTATTTTTTATAAAATTCAAAGAATGGTGCTACCATATCATAATGAAGGTGGTGAGAAGAAGCAAGAAGACGCCGGAAAACCAGAGGATGCGGCGGCGGTGATGGAGATGAGGAAGAGAACCCCAATTCTACCCCACAACCAAGTTTGAATCATGTTAGTGTCATTTTCTTAGTCAAACGGTGGCATCGTTTGAAAAAAATTTCCTATATTTTTTTTTCTTATGGTCAAGTGGTGCTACCGTTTAAAAAAATTTATGGGTCCGTCCCTGGCCAGACCTCCAGTGAGAAATCAAAACGTGTGCCAAGGAGAGAGGGTCAGCTTATTCTGCGTCCAATAAGAACCCCCATTTAATCGAATTTGTAGAATTTATGACAATAAGTGGTAGAAAAAAAAAGTTGACTATTTGGCCATATAAATATTTTAAAACTATTTTTGTGATTTTTTTATTTTTTTATTAACCTGGATATCTAACGTATTATGCGAACCGACTAATCCCAAAACGACCATCTACTTTGCAGATAGTTCGAAGTCACCGCATTTGAACCTATGTAACCACAAATAGTAAAATTAAAATATTGAAAAAAAGGAAAAGGAAAAGAAAAAACGGTATCTTAGCATATGTGGCATAAGTTGACCCCTGACGCAAAACCTAACCCTGGTTCAGTTTGGAAGAACCTCAACCACATAGCGGTGAGGCTGTCTCTTGTGATCTTGCTGTGCAACAACCTGGCCGGAGCCGTTGCGGGTCCGAATAATCTTTACTTTACTCTCAATCAACTACCCCATGATCTCAACTCTTACGCATGTTTGCCATCGCTACAAAACCCCAATTTTTGCCACTCAATTTCAATTGCTTCAATTTAGGGTTTCAATCAGGATGGCCCAAGGTATTGTCTGTACCTGCTAATTCAGATATGGACTTAATTCCCAAATTGGGAAAATTGTTTTTTGTTAGCCAGCAGAATAAGACGAATCAGGCAGTGGAAGTGATTGAATCCGATAATAATGTCAGCTGCAAAGATGGTTTCGATGCTATGTCAGCTGGAACAAAAGTACAACCTGATCACCTTGTGATCATGGTCAATGGGATCATTGGCAGGTGATTTCATGAATTTTTTACCCTCGTTTCATGATTTGAATTAAGGATGATGTTAAATGTTGACGATATTCTACAAGAAACTTGCCAATTTGATAGGTTATCCCAATCAGACCGTAAGAATGCCAATCACGCTCCTCAATAACAATGATCCAAGAGACAATTTGAGGCACTCACAATCCGTTTCTATTAATGGTTTTTACTGAAAACACGTCTACAAACAACCACGAATGATCCTCTTATTTGCCCCATACGCTCACAAAATCACTATTTGCTTTTGATCAGCATGTGTAGATCAACTTGAAAGATACCGAAGGCAATCCTTCCTCCCTTCTCTTCTTATCAGTCCTGGTTGTCTCTTCTCTAACATAATAGCACTAACATGGTGAAAGTGCGTTAATTTGATTGTAGGTCTCTATCTTTTGATATATCCGTAAACTTACTATGAACAGAAATCAGTTCTGATTCCACATCAAAGTTTGATTGTCCTTCCCCTTTCTAGTTTCGGGCTCTCTGGTTCCTCTCTGCCTAAAGAAATTTTATTTGAAATAAGAAAGAATGTTCAACAAATTTCTAGAGTAAAGTAAAAGTCAATATTGGCTATCAGGTGTTTTACATTCACTTGTCATTTATGAATTTTAGAAACTACTGATATAATTTACTTGTGATGTCATCCCGGGGGGAGGGGGGATAACTGGAGCCCACAATATATGGAAGCATAGAAAATGTCTAACCACTATTCTTTCACCTTGAGCTATGTTAAATCTCTTATCTCCCTCCTTACCCATTAACCTTAAATATACAAAGTACAGGTGCACATGTTAGAAGTTCTCTCTTCTAGCTTCCTTCTACGAGTGACAGTTTAACTCTTAAGAATTTTGATTCATTCGATATTTATGTTGGTACTTAATTAAAATCAAGATTAAGATTACTTGCTTCCTGCTTTGAGTAAAAAAGATTGATTGCATATGCATCTATAAGATCTCAATTTAGTTCTGCCTTGTGTCCAGTGCTGCAGATTGGGGATATGCAGCTAAACAATTTGTCAAGAGGCTTCCTGATAAAGTTATTGTTCACTGTGAGTATCTCTTTCAGAGTCTCCATCTGTTACATTAGTTGTTTCATAATTTCGATCTGGCATTAATCACAACGTACTTTTTCATTTAACAAATAACAAAATGAAGTATAAATATATGCATTATTTTGATTATGTGAAACTCCCTAGTTTTTTTATGGATGTTATTTGGAGAATAGTTAAATGAAGGTGTGTAAGTTTTGTTTTTCGTTCCCGGCTCTCATTGTGCTTGCATGCAAGAATTTTAGATGGATCTAGTTCTTACTCTCCAGAAGATGGATTGTTGCCAAATGGATGATGCACCAAGTATTTTCAATATTAACTCACTTTTTTGTAATTGGGTTGGGATATAGTTATTTCTTGCGCGTACGTACCTTTATTCTTATCCATTTTAGCATTTCATGAAATTTTCATGTGATCACTTTGGTACTTATCGAATATGGTGTGCGTAAAATTGATGCAAGAAGGGCATTCATTTAACATCTCCTTGTGCTCCATCAGCCCCAACCCCTTCAAGGTGTCAACACTCATTGGGGCTGTTTAGGAGCTCAAGCATTTTGATTGTTGATGACTCAAATGGTACTTGATCTTCCTGTCCCCATTTGTTTCCCCAATAAACGCTCTTCAAAGTTGAGGTGGAGTTATGTCTCTTATCATGTGGAGCAATCTTGGAGTTCAACATAATTGTTCGGCCCTGCATATAGCAGCTAAACTTTCAAATTAATTGGTATTAATGAATCAACGTTTGGTTAGATTCTATTGGACAATGGTTTCATCTTGCTATTTATATCTAGACATCTTTTTATATTCTGTATTAATATATATGTTAAGCAGGCAGTGAGTGCAATTCAGCGACCTTGACTTTTGATGGGGTAGACCGCATGGGTGAAAGATTGGCGGAAGAGGTATTCCTCTTGCTTCTTTCTTTCTTTTGCTTATTATCAGCAAACAGTCGATTAATTATTGATCTTTGTAACATAGTCAAATTTGTCAAAATGCATGGTTCAGTAATACCAAGTTATTTTATAATTACGTTTTAAATATAATTTTGTACCACAATATTTTGTCTATGCTGCAGGTCATGGCAATTACAAAACGTTGGCCTGAGGTGTCGAAGATCTCCTTCGTAGCACATTCATTGGGTGGCCTAGTTGCACGATATGCTATTGGGAGACTCTATGAAAATTTTCCTGTAATTGGACTCTCAGGTTCTAATGGGAATGATGCAAGCAATTCCGAACAATGCCATGAACAGCTTTATGAAGCTAGAATTGCTGGTCTGCAACCAATTAATTTCATAACAGTTGCAACTCCACATCTTGGTTCTAGAGGACATAGGCAGGTATGCTTAAGATACAAAGTTGGATTGGCGGTGAATCATAATTTGTTAGATCAAGATTGTTTTGCGAAGGAGCAGAAAATGGTTGAAATGCATATGTAGAAGAGCAACTTGATCATATTTGTTAGAAGTAATTAGTTGTATTAGCCTCTTACAACTTATTCTTCATTTTAGTCTTGATCATTATGTTTGCCTTTGTTGTATCTGCTATTACATATCCTTAACAATAGATTCATACCTTTTTACCTAAATTTGATTTTCCTTAAAAAAATGCTCTAGTGAAATGGCTTCTTAGAGAAAACTGTACATGGGATCCGTCTGACCTTCTTGTGGGGTTAGAAGTGGGTATCAGGGTCAATATATATCCTCTTGGCTTGCCTAAAACCTTGTTGCCAAATGGTATTAATTATAAGGAGACCTTTAGTATTTGGTTGTATTTTGCCTGCTATGTTTGTCACTCATTATTGTCCTCTTCAAAACTTGACATAGGTTGCATTTTCAATCAGGGTTTCTAGGAGGAGGTTCATATAATTGACCTTGAGGTATTACCAATTAGGGGTCTTTAGCATTAATCATATGAGGTCCATATCTGCTCTCAAACAGGCTCGAGGGTTAGATCTTCTTGTTTGTTTAGGCATGGATGCATGGTAATAATGGTTTTTATGGGGATGATATTGTATTCAGCGATGACAACTAAACATGGATTATAACTTTAGATTCTTTGTTTGATAGGAGATTTGAGAAATGGCATATACAACCTCATGTATTTTCTATGGATCAGGGTTTTGTGATCTCATAAGTTCATATTTTTCTATTGTTCTTGATGTCTTCTTTAAGATTGATTAATGATGGTATTAAGAACCAAACCACATACCTAACTGGACACCTAGGTTGGTCCAAATCCCACCCAGGTGGTAGAAGACTGGTTTGTTGTAAATTTGGTATTTATTCATCATCTTAGGTTGAATGTGGAGCCATCTTAGAGTTGTCAAGTGGTTGGTTGCACGATGCAGTGAGGTTAAGGGTTGGAACCTCCCGTAACTCCTTGTGAACCAATGCCAAGACATAATTAGACACCTCAACCGATTCATACATCGCATGAAACACTCTAACTTCAACTACCTGCCAAGGAATCGAAAAAGAAGTTGTCCTCTGGTGTACCATACATGCGGGAAGTGAATGGCACATGGATCATAACCGATAAATAGGTGGAAGGAAGGCACGTTTTGGATCTCTTAACAACCTTGACATTTATTTACAATCTAGAGACGTGTCTTCAACCATCTTGGAGTTGTGAGAACATCTAAGCTACCATCAATTGTTCTTTCAAAATTCAACCAAACATTATTCCACCTTTGCAAGCAACCCTGTTATCTGATGTCCCTGGCCCCATTCATATCTTAGGGACACAACGTTCCTTTGGCTGACAACAAGTTCGTTAGAGTAGTAGGCAATTAGTAAGTTGGACTCAAGTAGAGTGCAACTGTGAATCAAAAGGGAAAGACCCCAACTGAGGTTCATGTAAATGCAATGGAGTTGTTGCTCTTGATCTGAAGGGAGGAGAGGCTAGCTGACCATGAGAAGAGGATTCACACCCTACAGTTAGATGAGCAGGGAGATTAGCAAAGCTGTAGCTGCACTCGTCAGGCGAACTTGGTACAAAGAGGACTCCTACTACTCATACTGCATGGTATCCACCAACAATGCCAAAAATGGGTAAATAATGGGAAATCTCAAGGAGCGTAAGCCATATCAGATCCCAAAGGAGCCTTCATGTTCAAACCATAAGCTTTGAGAAGAAAGAACAGGGTGAGGCCATCAAGTATTGCTCGTGTCACGAGGGCCAAAAGAAGTTGGTGATTGCTTCCAAGCCTACTACAATCCCGAACTAGACCCCCATCATAGCTACCATACCTGTTACCCTTAGTAATACTATCCAGATCTTGATAAACCGGATCAATGAGCTTGAAAAGCATATCAAGTTTAGTATGATGGGGAAGTAGTATATTATAGTCTTGTTTCACCAAGGCCTTTCTAGATATATCGCCCTAGAAAGGCCTCACTGCTCACCCTATATGTAGTCACATGATGGTAAAGGTGACACATACAAGGACCTTCCGAAAATTGGGTCTTTACTTTTGTAGTTTGGGCATGATAACAGTGCTCTTTGCATGCTGTTTGACTACCTTGAGGCATCTGACAAGGCTTAGACTTGAACCCTCAAGTTGGGATTCGTAGAATCCATCACTTAGTTGAAAGGATGAATTCATGGCTTACTTTGCCATACACAAAAGACAAAGGAAGAGGAGTTCTTTGATGAGCATTAAGTAGGGGTCAAAGGAGTCCCTGAGATCGTATGTGATGATATTCAAGGCGACTACTCATAAAGTGGCTCACCTTTTCCTTGGGGAAGCCAAAGGCTTCTTTCCCATAGATCTATATGAGGATCGGTTGAAGGAGTTCATGCAAGATATCATCCTCATACCAGCTAGTATTGTGGCTGAAATGCCTGGGAGACACTTGGCTCGTGATCAAAAGGGTTGGGGAGATGGATATTCTCAACCTCTCACTATTACATGAAGAGGGATTGCTTGGAGACCCAGATTGGGCCAAAAGAAGAGGCGAGGTTAAATAGATTTCTGCCCCTTTGAACATAACGCGCAGGATCTTAATGACAATCTTGACCTGATTGTCCAGCGCAAAGTGAGTGGAGTTTCCACAAGACCCCAGGTTCAAATACAGCCCCGCCCACCCCTGCCCTAGGACACCGCAATTTAACTCCCTCATGATGACTGTGAGACTGGTACGAAGGGCTCTAGAGTGTAGCGCAAACCGTCTTTCCACAATTTGACCTCATTGGTCAAGCCTGATCAACAACGCGTCTTAGTTGAAACCAAAGATCAAGAAGGAATTACCTGGCCCCTCATTTGAAGGGTTCATGCCTTAAGAGGCCATCTTCTACTGATCTATCTTGCCATGTGAGGCAAGGCAGGTAAGTAGCTTTGGTTCAAGGGTGTGGGGGATTATTCTCATACAAGACGGATCAGAAGACACTCCGCCGTTCATCCCGTTCCAAGTCCTGTGTCAGTTACAAAACCTGCCAGAGAACTACCACATGAATTCTAATTGTTAAGATTTTAGTAGGAAGCCCATAACACTCGGGACCTACCATAAAACCACTGTCATTAGCTCTAATCATTAAATTTTTAGTTGAAAAAGAACATGTATTTGTTTTAAGAAGTGCACACAGCCGATTATCAAATATCTAGAAACAAAGCAAATGCAAACACAAACTGTAAGATGAGAATTGGAATATTGCACACAGTGAATACATCTATAAGATTATGTATTCGGTCAAATCTTACAATCTTCTAATCTGGAGAAGTGTCTTATCAGCATAATAACCCCCTATAATGGCCAACATCACAAACATCCTACAAGATGAATATGTGCCAAAAACAGCTTTCCGTACGACAATCTACATCAAGTGCACCTACCATGAAAAGAAGAGGATGAAAACAGGTAGTAATATATAAATTTCACTGTACAAAATACTGAGTTATGAAAGTATTATTGATAGGTTTTACTATTCAGTAATCGGATAGGACTTGTGTGGGATTAACTGAAATGCTAGGGTTAAGGAAGTCAACTAGTTACCTAGAGGGTGGCTGATCCTCTCTTATGCCTAAATCAGAAGTCGCCTCTTGTGGTCATACCTGTCCAAGCAACAGTTCAACACCAACGAGGAGAATTTGGTTAGAGCCTCATCTTACCAATATCTGCACCATGTTGGACTTAAAGCCACGAATAATTATTTGAGAGATAGGGATATCTTCCTGAATGATGGTTTTTAGAGTGAAGATGCATGTATAGATCTCTAACAGAGGGGAGACCTAAAAAGATTCTGAGTTCGCATATGAACTTGGAAGATATTATTATTTTTTTACGTAGGGAAATTATGGATCTGCTACTTCTCTTCATGGTATATGTAATATGTAGGACACCCTTTAAAGCTTTCAATAGTTTGGACTTCTGATCAGTGTTCTTTTCCTTACTGAGTGCATATTTAAAATGTTTTACAATACTTCTCTTTTATTTAGATCTCATCTGGTTCTCTCTGCTTTACAGCTCCCATTACTTTGTGGTCTTCCATTTCTTGAAAGAAGCGCATCTCAAACTGCACACTGGATAGCTGGGAGATCTGGAAAGCATCTCTTCCTCACTGACAATGATGATGGGGAAACTCCCCTCCTCCTTAGGATGGTTAATGACTCTAAGGACATTAAATTCATGTTAGTATTGCTTCATTCCGACATTTGCCTCAATAATCTTGGAGAGAGACATCGTGTTCTTTCTCTCCTCCTTTTTTTCTTGTGTTTTCCCAAGCTCTTCATTTTCTGATAATTTGCATGTTTACTTATTGTGCAGCTCTGCTTTAGGATCTTTCAAGCGGCGTGTCGCATATGCTAATGCAAACTATGACCGTATCTTTTTTAAGTTCGTTCTTAAACATTTTGGCATTCTAATTATTTCAAATTCTATCATATTATCTGTTATTTGTTACTGGTTTATTACCTATGTTTGACCTTCATTGACTGTCAAGACATGGTTGGATGGGGAACATCATCGATTCGCCGTCAACATGAACTTCCAAATGTCAGTTTGCTTTTTGTGCCTGACTGGTATCAACTATTTTGATGTATCTATTGTAAATACAGATACACTACATAACTGTTCCTGTTTGTTTCTCCTCTTCTAGTCAAATCTTCTTTCAGAGGATGAGAAGTACCCACACATCGTCTATGTTGAGCAAGGTCAACAAGAAGCTGATGAAGCGGTTCAAAAGGGGACGCCTTCTGTAGTTGCACCTGAGGATTTTGAAGGTTTTTCTCCATCTTTTGGGTGTGATTCGGTTGATATATCTTGAGTTAAGCAAGTCTCATCATTTCCTGTTAGACAAGTTCTGACTGTATAATAGCAAGTTTCAAGGAATTGAACTTTGACAATGAGGCAGGGGGAAAGAGGAGGGGCATTCAAGGCACCCACTAACTGTTTGAATAAACATGAAATTTGTTTGATCACCCAAAAAGTTTTTTTTTGAGAAGATTGATGGAACCTTTAACTATGCATAGAAAATTATCATCTGGTTGTTTTATATAAACATAAGCGAAAATAAATTTTAAGCCAAAAGAGTTTGGGAGAGAACATCAGTGACTGGAGCTTGCTCAGCTTATAAGGTAAAACTTCTCACCACCTCCCATAGTCCTCATGAAAAATTAAGGGAGATGTGCATCTCTTATGCTCCTGCCCTATCATGTATTGATGATGCAGCAGATTGTGGAAGTAGCTGAACTGATCTCGATAAAACTCGGATGGTTTTTCTAACCACAGAATAGTAAGCAAGGATAAAATTTGCCTGTAGATGTCAAAGTTCTAAACAGTATTGTTCTCTTTTCAACATGGACAGCTTGTAAATTGTGAAGTAAACAAACTATATTGATGGCCAGAGAAAGAGAACTTAGGTTTTCACCCATGGGTCTGAACTAACACTAAAAACAGGACCCTAGAATTGTCTAAATTGTATATTCTGGAAGTGAAGATTCGTATATTCTCTTATGCTTGAAGGTTTCTGCATTTTTGACTCTGACGAACCTTTTCCCTGGACAAAATTTTACTATGGGAATAGGTTGGTAGAGAATCGCACTCATTTAAAAGTCAAATATTTGATAACCCACAGTAACAATTTCGAATGACAACTATGATTTGTAGCTTTTTCTGGTCCTAATGAGCATTTTGGTTTATGTTCTCTTCATATCGACTCATATTTTCATTGGCTTGTATATTCAGAGGAGATGATCAGAGGTCTTACTCAAAAACCTTGGGAACGTGTTGATGTTAGCTTCCATAAAAGTACACAACGATATATTGCACATAGTACCATCCAGGCAAGTTTTAAAGCTAAATTGTTGGCGTACGTATATGTTTTATCCTTGCGAAATTTGACCTAAATTTACTGAACTCCTGCTTTGCTGGACAGTCCTATACTCATTTATATCGCTCATGCAGCTCATTAGAATATTCGTCACTTTTCTGTTCATATTTCATAAAATATGTTGTGCTTCTGTACACATCTGAGTACTAGGGGAACTGGGAGAATTTTTTAATATCAGCGCGCATGTATTCATGACTACATCCCTACATGAACATAAACTCATTCATCTTCTCTTAAAATACTGATTTATGTTGATGGTTGAAACTGCAGTCCACTTTACGTGTCATTTAGTCCGAAATGATTATATTAGTTTATTCTTCTCTTGAATTTCTTACGATGATTTCGTACTACTTCCTTCACCTGGAAAGAGTATATTGGAATATACATGTTTCTTGTGTAACAAGAATCACCTGCTTCACCTGTACTTGTTCTGAAGTCTGACTGTTAGACTGTTGTTAGGATGTTAAATGTGAACTAGGTTAGACTTAAGGTTTATAATGCTTCCTAGTTTAGGCCCAAGTGCCTATTCTTGTGATATATGCTTGACGTTTACCCTCGGTAATTAAACTTCCATTTAGACCCAAACATTCACTTATTATCTGAGCCTTTAGGGTATAACATGGAACAATCACGTGAGAGTTCCGTTTTCTCTGCCAGCTGCAACTAGCCCTCCATTGTCATGCCTTCCTGCCTTTTCATGCCTCTGTTGGAGATTCCCCACAAAAATTTCTTCTGCTAACCTTTCTAAATCTGGGCCTGATTCATCCAGTATAATCGACTGGTTCATAGTGCCAGTATGGTCCAACTCTGTTAAAGGGTATTCTTTTGACCCAGGTGTTTTTATCCTGACTTTATATTTTATCTTTTTCTTTCCTGTTGATGTCATGTGCTTATCTGCAGTTGCTGACTAGGGTAACTTTCTTATAGGACTGAGCACGAAAACACATAGCGGATGGCGACCATAAGTAATTACAATAATAGCTTTAGCTTAAAGAATTACCCCATAAAAGGGGCTTTTGCTTGTCTGGCCTGGGACACTCATTGCACTCAAAGTGTTTTATTTTGCCTCACCAAGTAACTATGAACTTAACTACAACAATAACAGAAATATGGAGATAGCTAACAAAGAAATATGCATCCAATTTGTAGAAAAGTTGGCCCTCCAAGAAAATGTTGATTATCAAGGCTTCCACTTCGCTTCATGTCGAGAGTTTTCAAGTTGAGAGAACAAACCTGCTGGCGTAAGATGTAGAATCAAGTAGTCAATAGATGGACCATAACTTTCAGTGTGATTAATCTCATGCTTCTTTCTATTGCATAAACCCAATAAAATTGTTTTTATTCTGATTTCACACATCTCTGGATAACCTAAGAAGAGGAACATGTAGTGGTCCAAAGAACACCTGATCTTTTAATGAGGCTTGTAAAATGATTAGGGTACATGTTGGAAAATCTTGAATAGATAACACGCAAGATAGACTCATGAGCTGGAACAAATAGACACAAGTAACATTAATTCTAGGGTAATTTAAGTTCCATCTCTCCAAATATTCATGTTGGGGAGCACCCATCAACCATTCCGAACTTAAGTAAAAATGAAAATAGCCGTTAAGCAAAATATAGTCTCTTTGAGATAATCCCCAGGAAACAGAGTGAAATCATCCATCGATTTCTTAATCCTGATGGGCTTCACAAAGGGACTCCTTAACACCACATGTCAATGTACAGGGTGTGTCCACTCCTCTGAGTAGTCTGTTGGACATCAGAAAATGGATGCCTCGAGAGACTTTGTTTGCTCTTAATCAACACCAAGGTTGCCCCTTTTCTTAAGGAACGAGCATGGGTTGTCCTCCACCTAGCAAAGATTACTCTTCAGTAACAACCTAACATGTAAACTAATCACTGTACATAAGTAATTAGGGTTGTTTGGTTGGTTTTTCATTAAGTTATGTATGGATAAAACTCTCGGTGCGGATTAATCTGTCTGTATATACTGGGAAGGTTTTTGTTTGGAGAGTTTTTCATAGATGGTAGGAGCTTGTATTTTAATTGAGAAGGACAGGTTCGGAAAAACTTAGCTTTCTGCATTAAGCTCCCTCCTAGAAGCTTACTGAATAAGCCACTTTCTATATCATTAAGCCATTACCAAACAGTCATTATAGCTGAACGAATAAGCTTCGAGTCTCGTTAGTTCATTAAGTTGTTAACAAGCAGACCCTTAGCTTAATATAAATAGGAAATTTAATGTAATCATTCCTCCTTAAGCTTGAACATGCATATCAAAATGATTCCCGACTTGATAACCAAAATGAGAAAATTTCCGAAGCATAATTCACCTAGGAAATTGAAAAGATATCCAAAAACAAATGAAAAGCAATCAGCAAATTGAAAGCCATACTAGATAACTGCAGAATTACTGGTCGTGATGTTGCACAATTAACCTTTCTCTTCTCTTATCTCTAGCATCACCTGAGTCAATCTGATTGTCTTTCTTAATGCAGCACTTGTTCGTTTATCGTAGTAGTCCTTAACCCCACAATCTTAACATCTCTATAATAAGTGCATATTATATTGGTCTTCTCATCTTTCCCTCATTTACTGCACAACCTTAACATTGTTATTTCTGGTACGCACATCGGAAGGGTAAGTTTGTAACTTTTCATGGATGCTCCAAATTCTGATCTTCGAAGTATAGCTGGTGTATTTCAGCTATGCAGATAACCAACCCCCTTTCAAGAAATAAGGGCATTTCTAGCATTTATAAACACTCCTCCATCTACTGGCCTGATTAGTGTGCCATATGCCATCTTTAACCTCACATATTTTCCAGTTTGTTTAGGAATCTAATTTAGTGTTTCATTCTTCAATAAAGTCTCAAGACTATAATTATGACAATGGAGGATAAATTAGATACAAAGAAATCATCTGTGGAGTCTAGTCATTGACTTCTCATCTTCCATTGAGACTCAGACCATATTGCTTAAAAATTAATAATCGACTTTTTTCTTGGTCTTTTTGATTTATCGTCATTATGGTTTTAGTGTTAAGATAATGTCAACTCGAAGTTTTATACATTTTAGTCATAAACATCTTGTATTACTTGCATGCGTTCATATTGGCTACCCAATATTTTAGCTTGTGAATATACCTACCTATTCAAGTGTAATTCAGACTATAGCAGAATTTTAAATGGTTATCTAGCTCTAGGCTATTGTTCAGTAACATTCGTTTAACAACTTATCTTGGTAAACACAACTTGTTAATATGAAATTTAATCTGGTGTATGTGTCAATTTATTATTCCATAATTCCATGGGATTGACTTCAACTGTATGCAATTGCATTCACTAATAAGGGTACATTTGATATACAAGATAAAACAAAAACTTGTTTTGTCCCATATTTGATGTGACATTAGATGAGAACAAAATTGCATTTTGTTGTTCCATCAAAATAGGTGGAACAAAAATCACGGAGATAGACTCAAGATTCGTAAATTACTAAACTATCCATGTCATGTTAAACACCCTAAAACCTTCCATAATCCTTTCACACGCATACCGCACTCTCGTCTGTCCAATACAACTGTCTGTGTTCCTAAACGCATTAAGGAGTAAAATGTGTGAATGATGTGTACATTTCTTTGTATGTGATAAAGAAGGCTTATTATATAAAATTAGGCAATCAATGGTTACTGATTGTGTTCTCTGCTACTCGAAAATCAGGTGAAGAGCTATTGGTTAAACTCTGATGGTGCAGACGTGGTTCTCCATATGATAGATAATTTTCTTCTTTAGCATATCATCATGCTTAAATTCTTTGTCTGATCAGGTTGTATATATTATGCAATCCTTCAAATTGGGGATGCTTACATTCTTTATACCCTAAATTCATTTTGTCCATAAATTGGAATGGGATGTTCTTCCTTCTCTCTCTTAATTTAATTATTATATTTAAAACAACTTTTTGTTCCAATCATATGTTTTGTTTGAAACTATGACATTGAAAAGCAATAAGATATGGTAAAAGGTCGCCAAGTTTCAATTCCAAATTTTGAAACAGAAACTGTTGGCTTGTTTTGGGTGTCTTAAAATTCACATTCATTATTCGATGATAAATGGAGATACATGTCGTGCTCTTGGTCGTTCTCCAGAAAGTTGTCTTGACTGTTATCGACCCATGATATTAGCATGTGTGATAAAAGAAGAAAAGAAGAAAACGAAACAAAAACATTAATTTAATGATACAAAAACAGTACACTTGCAGAAACCATTTGTGGGACATTCTCTAAAAGTATTAATTATAGATGAATTAATAAAAAATCTCACCCAAATGATGACTGATTACTGCCAAAATATCAAACCTTCAGGAGCTAATGGAGATCCAGCATAAAAGATGAGCGAGCAAACCAAACAACTCAAATCAAAACTTTCAAAAATGGGTTCTTAGAACTGCATAAACACAACAATCACCAAAAACATTCGAATAGAGCCTGAACCACACCACATTACTTCTACCTCACTGTAACAATGTCATCAATCTTCAAAATCATCCGAACACACTCTGTAGCTAGGGTTATGGCACTTGTGCTCACAAGCAACGGTTGCACCACATTCTCCTCCAAGATATTCGTGATTTGCCCCTTTCTCACATTGATTCCAGCATTGATTTCACCCTGGGCATGCTTGTTACGAAGCTCTGTCACTATAGCAATTGGGTTCAGACCTGCATTCTCAGCCAAGGTGTAAGGAATAACTTCAAGAGCCTCSGCAAAAGAYYTYACRCAAWAACTCTCCATCCCMTGMARRACYTTAGACCATGCACCWAGYTGCCTCGAGAGCTCAAYCTCTGGKGCACCMCCACCTGCAAYCARAAACTTTTTGYTCACWARRCACCTAACCACACATAAAGCATCATGCAAACTCCTCTCCGCCTCATCAAGAACCAGCTGATTAGACCCACGAACAAGAACCGTAGTAGTTCTTCCCATATCTTTAATTCCTGTAATCTTCACAATCTTTCCATCTCCAAGTGAAACCTCTTCAACCATACTAGCAAACCCTAGTTTTTCCGCACGAAAATGCTCAACATTTGCTATAGGCAAACAGTTCAATGTTTTGGTAATGAATTCAATGTCATCACGTTCCACATCTTTAATCACCAAAATCTTGGCCTTGGCAAGGTAATGCAGCGACAAATCAGTAACTGCGTCCCTCAAAATACTCTTCTGGATCAACAACACATTACAACCTGTAGCCTTGATCTTTTTAATAATACCCAAAATGTAATTCCTCTCTTCCTTCAAAATCCGGTCCATCTGGGTATAATCCGATACGACAATAGACTGCTCGATATCAGTTTTTGGAGGTGATATCTGGAACTGAATAACTGCAATTTTCGCATTCTCAACACGAGTAGGACCACCAGCAGAGTGACTAACCTTCTTATCAAACACCAAACCCTTGACTAACTCTGTATCATCAACAGTTCCTCCTAATTTCTTCACGATCTTAACATCCCTAAGATCAACTATATCTGGTTTGGCTGAGTCCACTACGGATAAGACAGCATCTACAGCTAAGGGAGCTAAAAGACTCGAGTATTGTGAGACTACCTTGCTATTAAGTGAAGTTGAAGCTGATTTAATCAGACTCTCACGATCAGAAAGCTCGACAGGAACAGCCATAGCAGTAAGCACATCAAGAGCTTTAACTGAAACCTTGTGCAATGAATCGGATATCACAGTAGGGTGAATACCTGCATTAGGTATGGTGTGGCATAAACATTGTATCATGACATACTCCATCCGTCCATCCATAAACGAAAAAGCTAGATTATATATTGATGTCAAACAACTCAAACTAACAGTTTCAAATGCAAAAAAAATGATATGATTTTGTTGTGATTTAAGGCAAACATCATGTTTTTCGTGGTACGTGCTATGTAGTAATTATGATTAGCAATTAGTTTTCAAAAAATTAACGTCTAATTTTGAAATTGAAATTGAAATGAACCCCTAGTTTCTTTGTGGAACAAAGAGACTATAGATTAAAGCTTAACATTTAATTTATAGAGAGAATAAAAGAACATCATAAAGCATACCAGCGCGGAGTAAAGTCTGGCATTGTTTTAATAGGGCACCGGCGATGACAACAACGGTGGTGGTACCGTCACCAGCGACAATGTCTTGGGATTTAGAGAGTTCAACGAGCATCTTAGCGGCGGGTTGGAGGACTTCCATTTTGTTGAGAATGGTAGCGCCGTCATTGGTGATGATAACCTCGCCGGAGGCGGTGGAGATCATCTTGTCCATGCCTTTAGGACCGAGCGATGTGCGGACGGCGCTGGAGACAGAGCGTGCAGCATTGATGTTGGCCATACGTATGTCTTCTTTTCGTTTATTGTCAACATAGCTTTCAGTCTTGGAAGACGCAGGTGCCATTGCAACTGCTGGAGAAGCCATTGTCTTTCCACTGATCGATTGCAAACCCTAACTGGATCTGAGAGAGAGAGAGAGAGAGAGAGAGAGAGAGAGAGAGAAGTTGGAGTCGAAAATGGTGGGTTTACGAAATTGATTCTAGAGAGCGCGACATAAACTATTAGGTTTAATTACAAATATGGTCCCTAAACTATAAATCATTCTCACTTTTCCCCTTCTATATTAAGGTTTTGAAATTTTGATACTAAAACTTCTCTTTTGATTATTTCAAGTCTGCTTGGTTGACTTTTAGTTATAGAATTAAAATGAGGATGTTCGAGAGTAGGAATGAAAATGGTTAATACATGAATGATGTTTGGTTGTTGAAAATTGAGTTTGTATTATTACTGGTTATTGAGTTAACTCTACCCATTGAGCTAATAATCTGTCGTGGAGCCCCCATTAGGGGCCCACTATGTCAAAAGTGAAAGAAACATCATCCTTCTCTTTAATTTTGGTCCTTAAGGTTTAATGATTTCTTTGAAAGTGGGACCTGAACTTTAATAAGTCAAGATGTCATCCCCATGTTTGGATTTTGCTTTGAAAATGAGACCTGGTCACTAACTTCATCTATTTCCATCGTTAGTGTCAGGGGTAAAATCATCCAACCATCATTTGCCTCTCTTTTTGCACTCTTTTGTTGTTTTTTCTTACATTTGAAAAAATAATCAAATTATAAGGACCAACTTTGTTTAACCATTAAAGACCACATAACGGTAATCTTCTCCGGAGACTCTTTGGTCATCTTATTTGTCGTCCCTCCAGTCATCTTCTTTGCGACTAAGGAACACATGTATCTCGCACAAAGACACTAAATAAACCCATTTTTACGAACAAAAACAACAATCCAAACTTCATTCTTGTAAAACAAATCAACAAGTAAACCCCATCGTGGTATTACATGTATTAAAACCCCATTCTTTCATACATGCAATATATGTCCATGTCTCATTTTGCATATAAACTCCATTCTTTCATACCACATCATATTGACGATTTTCCAGCCAAAAGAACATCCCCTACACTGATCGTTCCTCTTCTCTATCCCCTTGCATGTTTTTTTCATGTGAAAGTCGGCACCTCACATTTCCATTCCTCTGTGATTTGGTCCTTGTGGTTTCGTCCCTGTCATTTGGCCCTTGTGATTTGGTCTCCATGTATTTATTTGGCCGGCGATGAAACCATGAAGCATCAAGACTGCTAATCCTTGTGTATTTGGACCTTTATCAGTACTCAAAGGAAAGGAAGAAGAGGATGGATGTGATGTGGGTGATGGATGTAGGTTCAATTTATAATAAGAGATTTGGGGGTGAGTAGAGAAATGTTGGGGAAAAGGTGTTTAACATCATATTATAGCTCACTGAAGATGCTCAACGAAGGTTAATGGGGGCTGAAGATGAAAGAATTGCAACCGAAGATGCTCAACGGACTTTTGGTCCCCCTCTCTCTCTCTCTCTCTCACACACACACACACACATATATATATATATATATATATAGAGAGAGAGAGAGAGAGAGAGAGAGAGGAATGATCAATTGCAAACCACCCTCATTTGTGAAAATCTTACAAACCAATCTCATCCATCCATTTTCTTGATCAATGGTCAAGATTAAATGAGTTTATATTATAAAATTAAAAAATTAATTTTTAATTAAAAAGGGGGCAAATCTGTAAAATCCCCAATATTGGAAGGTAATAAATATTGTTGGAAACGTTTCATATAGAACGAGGTAAATTATTTCTTCTTAATATAAATGTTTTACCATTAATATGTTTTATTATTTTTTACCATTATATTTTATAAAAATATAATTTTTAAAAGCAGTAGAATATGAAATATGTGTTCCGTTTCATTGAAAAAATATATGTACTTTGAGTAATGAAACTAATTTCATGTTCAATAATGACCAGCAAACAATTTCACAATATTTCAGAACGTTTTATGCATGAAAAACGTTTATTAAATAAAAAAATATTCAGTTTTCAAAATGTCTCATTAAATTTTTAAAAATGTTTAATTCTTTATATGTTTCATCGTTCAATACTACATGGGTCTTTCTTTAATGGCAGTCACGTGAGTTCGTTATATAAACGGTGAAATAGTTTCATTCATTGATTTAATGATACAAAGTATTTGTTTTTTAGTATTCAAAGTGTTTTATTATTTTTAGTTGATTATAATATGTTTTATATTTCATAATTTATTAGGATATACCTAACTCATTGTAGGTGACCGAGAGGAATACGATGTCCATGTGGTGTGGCAATGATTTGGGGAAAAAAGAAATAGGGAGAGGGGTGGGCCGGATAATGGGTCCTCACCAGGGATTGGACCCATAATTTTTTTTTTCAAACAGTAGAACCATTTGACTATAAGAAAAACTATGTGAAATTTTTTTCAAATGGTGGTACCTTCTGACTAAATGAAACAAATATACAAATTTTTTTTTCAATCAATGACATCATTTGACTAAGAAAATGACACTAACACGATTTGAACTTGGGTCTGGGGTGGAATAAAATCATTGCAAACCAACTTTACCAAATAAAACTTGTTCTCATTGTAGTTTCAAAATACATACGATGACACACAACAGATTAATATGGTTGCACATTTCACGAACCTAATTTTTTTTAACCTTTCTACGGATGAATAATACGGTGGCACGTGCCACCTATACCACCAAAGTAGGTTTGTCCCTGGTACTCACTGGAGAAGGTGACCGGATCGGAGATGGCGTATTGCGTAGGGGTGTGTGTGTTTATGTATGTACAAAAATACAATAGGATAAAGACAAAATTAAGGATAAAAAGACTAAAATAGCCCTTATTTAACTTGGTTAACAGAATTCTTGATTCCGTTAGTGTCATGGACTCAAGACGTGCGAAAATGTAGTCCACAAGTCTCATATTTGTATTTGTTTTGATTTTGGAATCACTGTGGATAGAAAATATAAACGACATGAACCAAAAATGTAATTTAGTCAAGAAATTTTGAAGTTGGCTATAGCTTCTTAAACTATGTGTTCATTGTCAAATTGTAATCAATCCACAATAGCCATTCAAAACGAGTTGAAAAGTCGTATAAACAAGAAAAGTGTTGGATAAAATGTGAAAATTAGACTTTGCTAAGAAAGTCGAAACACTCCATATCCATATCCATATCCATATCCATATCCATATCCATATCAATATCCATAATACCCGTTGAACCCAATTATTTTGTACCCAAAAACCAAAGTGACGAATTAATGAATTCAATTCAATTCTCTAATAATGATACAAATTAGTTAATCACTTTTAATATGTATTAAAACCAACACAAGGGAAGTTAAAAATTCAAAGCCTCACATAAAACAAATTCCGATTTAAGCAATATGAAAATAAATTAATTGGATGGGTAATTGGATGTTGATCGGTTCGGTTTTGGTCAATTATGGACTGTCATCCGAGAACCAACCGATCCAAATTGGATGTTGAAATTTTCAATCCGATCCGATTCAATTACAATTGGATATCCAATTATGATTGATCGGTTCTAATTGAATCAGTAGGTTTCAATTAGATCAGTTGATTTTCTGCACATCCCTACTCTCGCTACTAGGTGTATGCAATAGGAAAACGATTACCATAATAATATAAATATAATCAACATAGTGATAGTGATAAATAAAAAGTTAAAATCTGCATCTTGTTATTATATAATTAATACATTTGTAACGATATTTTATTTTAAAATAAATATGACACTTATTTTTGAAGTTACTGTATTATTTCTATTTAGTTTAGAAAAAGAATATATATATACTATATTATAAAATATTTGATAAAAACTCTTAAAAACGATTTTT